GCTATACCCAGGACAGGTGGGAGAGAAGATATGAGAGAGAGGATTTCAAATGTGCAACCATCAGCAAGATTTCCCACATCTGCACAGCTCCACGTGGGAGCAGATTATCCAATAGGCAAGGTAAGCATTGCTTACCAGCTCATCTGTGGTGAACAGTTTCAAATTTTTTCACCACATCAGGGATTCTGCTCCTAGGTATGGCTGGCATTTGTTCTCTCGAACCCCACAGCACCTTTCTACAGAATCAAAGCCTCTTTCCAAATTTACAATCCCTGACAGGGACAGATGACTCAGTAAGCAAGGTTTAAGCACAGGCTTACTTGTGCTTATTTACTAATCTGTAAGCAAGGTAAGCACAGGCTTATTTGTGCTTATTTATTAATCTGTAGCGCACAATTTCACATGGGTTTCACCAAAGGTGTGGTGAAATCCATGTGAAACTGTGCACTGTGTAGTACATATTAGTAAGTAAGCACAAGTAAGCCCCTGCTTACCTTGCTTATTGAGTAATCCGCCCCTGGCTCCACACAGTGTGAAAAGGGCTTTCTCACCTTCACTCAATCCTAACCACCTTGGGAACTATCCCTTTGTGACCAAAAAGGAAACTGAGGCTTGAAGAGATGAAGAAACATGCACAATGTTGCCAAGTGACAAGTGGCTGAGCCAAAGCCAGCGCTAGGTCTGACTCCAGACTCAGTGCTCTTTTGCAGGGTAACAGGTTGCTTCTATATATTCCAAAGAAAAGAAACAAAAATTGGGAAAACAAGTATATAACTTACTCCCCCCCACCTGTCAGTTTGTCATACTGTGGGGGCTTGCATGTTGCTGTGATGCTGCAAACTATGCCACTGGTATTTCAAATACCAGCAGTGTCACCCATGGTGGACAAGTTTCAGCAGAGCTTCCAGACAAGACAGACTAGGAAGAAACGCCTGGAGATCTACTCCCCAAAATTAGCCCATGAAAACCCTACAGATCACAAGAGAAGAATGTCCAATATAGTGCTGGAAGATGAGCCCCCTACGTTGGAAGGCACTCAAATACACCATGGCTGCAACAATGGACTCTCAAACATGCCAACAATTATGAAGATGGGCACAGGACCGGGCAACACTTCATTCTGTTGTACATGGTGTTGCCATGAATCAGAGCCGACCCTACAGCAACTAACCACCACCACCTACTCCCAGATGACACTTAATCTACAAATGTTATATGCTGACCGCTTTTGCACATCCGATTCCCCATTCTGGGGTGCCCTTTCTCTTCCTCACCTGCCAGCCCTGCACCCAGACTACTCCCCTTTAAGACCCAGCTCCAGCATGCTCTCTCCTATGGGGCCTGCCCAGGCCCAACCTGTGCTGTCGACAATGGCTTTCTCTGTGCCGTGTGCCTGGCACACACCTTTGTTACAAAACTCCTCGCAGGGCACTGCAATGTTTCATTTATGTGCTCGTCTCCTCTGAGACAGAGTGGGTTCCTTGAGGGCAGAGATGAGTCTTTTTCATCTCTGGATCCAAAGCACATGTGAGGGGCTGGCACAGGGTAGATGCTCAGTAAACATTTGGTGAATAAAAGAATGAAAAAGCAAGCATTCTCCTTGCAAAACTAGCTGGCCTCCATATAATAGTCTGATGCTGAAGCAAGGAGCCTGGGCAGGAGCCGCGAGCCTCCCACTGGCCGGAGAGGCTTGGGCACCCAGCACACACCAGGCGGCACACTGCACTAATGCTGGGCAACTGTGCCCTCCACCCTTCAGAGGAGACTCTTGGGATAGGGGCCTTCTGAGCAGAGTGCTGGACACCTTAAAAGTCAGGAGACTCCCTCACCCGGATGTCCTGCTGCCACATCCGATGACAGCTGCTGGGGAAAGGAGAGGGCAGTTATTAGGGGCCCCAAGGACCCCGATCCAGTTGAAGCTCCTGGGTACTCCCTCCTCCCAGGGACTCAGGGCTCACCCTGCCAATGTCTCAATCAAGGCAGTTTCCCCACCGGTGTCCCAGGACTCCAGTCTTGCAAAGGCACCGTGGAAAAGCATTCTGTGATCAAATGCATGTGGAAAATGCTATGAATTCCGTGGCCCCCTTGAAGAGGCCCGGTGCCCACTGGTGTGCTGAAGGTTCTGAGATGTCCTGCAGCAAAGACAATCGTGTAACTCGACTTCAACCTAGAGTCTGACAAACCTACTTGATCACACAACCTCACCCACTTTCATGTACACACCCCCCTTTTATTTTGCTTTCTGAAAACCTATTAACATTCTGTGGAATTAGTATTTCTAGAAACATACTTTGGGAAATGCTGGGGAAGGACATTGGGCAAGAGAGGCACTTGGCGTAGAGGGAATAGCCTCCTGAGGCTGGGGGTGGCGGGAGAAGAGTCACCTGGAAGGGGCTGGTCATGGGGCCAGGGGCCTCTCACCAACCAGCACACAAACTACACAAAACCACTTGAGCCCAGTGAAATCTATGAAAGAGGTTTCCTTAACTGCAAAACAGGAACAATAAGCCCTGTTTTGTCTGCGGTCATCCGATGAGGTCATGGAGGTTTGCACTTGTGGACAGCTGGGCCCCCAGCAGAGTCCCTGGGTGTCATGGGTGTTCAGTCACTTACCTGGGTAAAAGCTATACAAACATGGGGGTTATGAAAAGAGCAGGACAACAGTAAAAAGCAGGCACAAAACCTTAAAGCACATATGGTGTGGGACCACGAATTTCAGGGGCAAACAACTCCTATCAATAACCCCTGAAGATACAAGTAAGTGAAAGCAGCGAGGATCCCTGGTGCTTCTAGCTCCAGGAGTCTACAGTTCATGCAAGAGGCAAGGACTCGCGAGCCAACCTAGTCTAGTTGTAACCCCGAGATTTGCTCCTTCTTGGCTGTGTAACTGGCAAGAGGCTTCACTCCTCTGTGTTTGCTTCCTCAGTGTGCAGAATGAGGAAGGATAGATAGAGTAGATGGATGGATCGATCAGACCGAAGGATCAATCAGACCAATGGATCAATCAGACCGATTAGACAATCAATCAATTAGATTGATAGATCAATAGATCCACAGATAGATAGATAGATAAAAATAATAACAAATAATGCCAGCCTCCACGGTGGCGGTGTGGATGAAATGACAATATGATAAAGCTGCTGGCACATTAACAGGTGCTCAATGAATGTGTCTCCTTAAAGAAGACTGAGACGTGAGAGACATTTTAAAAGATGTCTGTCAGTAATGGCTAGAATGAAATCCGTTTTGTCTTCAGTCAGGTGGAATGCCAGCGTCAGCAGATGGGAGGGTAAGAGGGTGGAGAGGAAGGGCGTCTACAGATGGCAGGCAGGCAGAGGGTGAACACTATGAGGCTCTGGGCAGTGTGGTAATGACCGCCTGGGAAAGCCAGGGGAGGGGAAAGGGCTCTCATTGCCCAGGGGACAGATGAGTGACAGCACCTCCCACGGAGACCAGCACATGGCCCGGCCCAGCCCAGCTCACCGAAGGTAAAGACAGGGTGCTTTTGAAGACTAGAATTGTCTAAAGGCTAACATCTCTTCAGTACTTCCTGAGGGTCAAGTACTTTATCCACCCTGGCTCCAAGTTCGATTAAGGCCACAGACCGGATTTGGACTCTGACCCTGAGTCCAGAGTCCAAGCTCTTCCCATTATGCCATGCTGCCTCTCGGTGTTGTGACCACCCACTCAGATGTCTTCTCTTGCCTGTCAAGATCCTTCAAGGTTAAGGAGTGGGCCTGGCTCATCAGGCCCAACACCCAGTATATAACAGAAATGCCGTGACTGTTGGACGAATAAATTACTCACCTGAAAACACTTCAAAAAGCTACTAGATTTTAAAAAGCTTGAGCCACTCTAATATAATAGCACATAAAAAAACTCGTGGGTCAATTCCCTTTTAAGAAACACAGTATTAACAGAGAGGGGGCAGTGATAGTTCAGCAATACAACTTTCATCTTCTATGTAGGAGACCCAGGTTTGACTCCTGGCCAATGCACCTCACGTGCAAACATCACCCGTCTGTCAGTGAAGGGTTGTGTGTTGTTATGATACTAAACAGGCTGCAGCATCCAGACGAAGACAGACTAGAAAGAAGGACTGGCAATCTACTTTGAAAAACTCAGCCAATGAAAACCCTACGGAGCATAGTTCTACTCTGACACACATGGGGTTGCCATGAGTCACATTTGAACTCGATGGCAACTGGTTTAACTGGTGTCTTCTCCACGGTCCCCTTACCCTTCTGCCAGTCAGAAACAAAGACTCTGAGGCCTCCTGGGATGGCAGAGACACAAGATAAAGGAGCTGGGTGCCTGAATCACTGTGTTGAGCCACTGGCCAACCAGGAGCACCCATACTAGACTGTTAAATGAGACTAAACCTTTACTGTGTTAGAGTTCGTTTGAGCTACAAACATACCAACTAATGTAGCAGGGATGGTGTTATGGATTGAATTGTGTCCCCAAAAATATGTGTTCTAAATCCTAACCCCTATACCTGTGGTTATAATCCCATTTGGAATGCATTTTCTTTGTTATTTTAATGTGGCAGTATTAGTGTAGGGTGTATCTTAAATCAGTCTCTTTTGAGATATAAAAGATTAAGCAAGCAAGCAGAGATGAGGGAAGACAGATGCCAAGCCACATGGAGATCTCCAAGGAACCGAGGAACAGAAGGTGAAAATAGATGAGGGCCTTCCCCCAGAGATGACAGAGAGAATGCCTTCCCATAGAGCTGGTGCCCTAATTCGGACTTCTAGCCCCCTGAACTGTGAGAAAATAAATTTCTATTGTTAAGGCCACCCACTCGTGGTATGTCTGTTACAGCAGCACTAGGTAACTAAGACAGGCTCATCATGAGGAGACTCAAATACCATAGCAAAGACCTGGAAGTAGACAACCCGGCAGTGGTACGGATCCCAGCAAGATTTTAAGCAGAGGAGAGATGGGGTCATAAGTGGGATTCAGAAAGCTCACTCTGGTGACCACAGGAAGGAGGATCACGCACAAGGATTGTTTCCAGGGGCCCTGGTGTTGCTGGCGCTGCTCTCAAAGGAAGAATGGAAGTTGTGAATGGTTTCCTGTAAGATTTGTCTCTCTCGTCCCTGTGGAAGAGATTGAAAACAGACACAGAAAGTCTTGTTAAATCTTTTAACCATTAATTCAATTGACACAGTGCTGTTAATGCTCAACTTATACTTGAAAAACCCATGGGCGTCTTGGGGAAAATATATCATTTAATTGAAAGAGTTCCGAGTTTAATAAAAACACACTGAGTCAGAATCTCCCCCAGCACCCACAATCACAGCATGTCAGCGTTCTGAAACTCAGCAACCCAATCCCTGGAAGAGGTCAGGAGGCAGAGCCCAGAGAGCAGGACTGACCTGCCCCAGGTCACACAGCCTTTCCAGCCCTCGGATTTCCAGGGAACTCAGTGGGAGCTGAGTTTTCTTCTGCTACAGAGTGAGAGTTGGAACTGCCTTTGCTCCTCCTTGCCCAAAAGATGTCAGACTCCTTTTCAGTGATTCACTCACTTCCACCCCACTCCTACAACATGCCCCCTACACACACATTTTGAGATGGGAAAAGAGGAGGGATGTGGATGTTTCTAAAGAAAAAGCCCAGAGAACATCTTAGTTGAATACCTGGCTGAGACATAGCAAAGCACAGAAGTTAAAAACAGACACTGGAATCAAAGCCTGGGTTCAAATCCTGTCTTGCCTATTTACATGCTAGGTGACCTTGAGCAAGATACTAAATCTCTCTGGGTCTTAGTTTACTAATCTGTAAAATGGGGATAATAGAAGTGTCTCAAATGGTTGGGGTGAGCATTAAGTTAAATATATATATGTATGTATGTAAACACACACACGTGTGTGTGTAATGCTTAGACGAGAATCCATTGTTGTTGTTAGCTGACATCGAGTCGGTTCTGACTCATAGTGACACCATGTACAACAGAATGAAACACTGCCCGGTCCTATGCCATCCTCACAACAGTTGTTATGCCTGAGCCCACTGTTGCAGCCACTGTGTCAGTCCATCTCGTGGAGGGTCGTCCTCTTTTTCACTGACCCTCTACTTTACCAAGCATGATGTCCTTCTCCAGGGACTGATCCCTCCTGATAACATGTCCAAAGTATGTGAGACATAGTCTCACCATCCTTGCTTCTAAGAGCATTCTGGCTACATTTCTTCCAAGACAGATTTGTTTGGTTTTTTGGCAGTCCATGGTATATTCAATATTCTTCACCAACACCATAATTCAAAGGCATCAATTTTTCTTCAGTCTTCCTAATTCATTTTCCAGCTTTTGCATGTATAGGAGGCTATTGGAAACACCATCGCTTGGGTCAGGCGCACCTGAGTCCTCAAAGTGATATCTTTCCTTTTTAATATTTTAAAGAGGTCTCTTGGCAGCAAACTTGCCCAGTGCAATGCATTGTTTGACTTCTTGACTGCTGCTTCCCTGGGTGTTGATTGTGGATCCAAGTAAAATGAAATCCTTGACAACTTCAATCTTTTCTCCGTTTATCGTGATGTCGCTTACTGGTCCAGTTGTGAGGATTTTTGTTTTCTTTATGTTGAGGTGTAATCCATAGTGAAGGCTATAGACGAGAATCTGTTACACAGTGAAATGCTATGCTATTATTGTTACTTCTGAAAGAGGGGAGTGCGTAAACCTTCTGCGTGGATGATAAAATGATCGTGGTGTGACAAAGGCCTGGCTGCACTGTGGGGGGATCAGGACAGAACCACCCCTGCCACCCCCCACCCTACGTTGGCCAGGTGAGGTTCTCCTGGGGACTGGCTTCCCTCCACACCACCCTGCCCACCAGCCACGAGTGTACTGAGTGGGAAGACCTGGGCAGACCACACAGAACAGCTCCTGGAAGACAACAGAGGACGTGAGCACATAAAGACTTTGGAGTGTGGAAACCAAGCAAAGGACTGAGAAAAAGTTGTATGAACTCTTTAGGGTTTGAAAGACACTATTATGAAGAATGTGAATGTATAGTATTTGAATGCCGCCTCTGGCCTGCCCTCTGCTGGGCCCTTTGACTTACATTATCTCAGTTTGTTCCCACATCAACAGAGAGGTATGTTTTCTTAGTGCTTGAGGCTTGCAGGGGTTAAGTGACCTGTGCTGCTCAGGTAGGCAGTGGAGGCTCCACAGCATTCCATGTGGGCTGAGCTGGGTGCACTGAAAACTTCGAGGTGACAGCAATTTCTGTCATGATTTGTTTTCTACTCTTCCTTTGAACCTAACTAAGATTCCTGACAAACCAGGCTGCCACAGCTGGATCAGGGAACTGGGCAGGTGGTGTTTGTGCTGAGGCTGGGCTGGAGCTATCCGAGGCAATGGCTGGGCCGGGTGTGCTGCTGACAGTCAGAGTGAGAGACCCTTGGGAAGAGAGGGTCAGTCTCTCAGAAGACCCAACTGGAGCACCTGTGGTGGCTCCATCCAGCCCTCCCAGTCAGCCATGGAGACTCAGGGAGTTAGTTGTTCGGAGGGAAGCAGTGACTGGAGATCACCGGAGCCTGAGTGGCTCTTCTACTCGGTGACCAAACCTTCTTAATGCTTGGTAAAAGAAAAACCCCCTTCCAAAGCACAGAGGTTTCAGGGCTGGTGAAATAAACTTTTTCTTCTAGAATACGAGGTTGACTTCTAGAAGCAGGTGAAAACAGCAGATGGATTTTATATTGTTTGGGTTCACCTCAATGCCCATCTCTCTGACTGCAGTACGACCCCGCTGAGGACAGGCACCTTTCTGCCTTGTTCTGCTGCCCACAAAGGGCCAGGTGTCAATAAAGTGGATTAAATATATATTTTGAAATCAACAAATAAGTGTGGTCCTAAATGTAAACAAATTAAAAACTGATAATCTCTAGCAGACTGTTCTCTGCTGAGTGAAAAAGCTAAAAAACAAAAAAAAATCACTGAATGAGCGCAGACTTCAAACTTCCTTTTCTTTCATTTCACAGACTTCTACACCCCAGAGTGGCCCCTCTCCAGACCTCTAAGCAGGGACCTCAGTGCTAAGCAGGCCTCCTAAGCACCTGAGATTCTTCCTTTATGATGAACATTTCAAGTAACTTAAAATAAGCTGATCAAAAGGGAGAAAATGCAGAACAGAATTTAAAATTCTTATAGAATCCATACTTTCTGGAGCCATGGAGGCTGAATGAACCCCTGAAACTACTGCCATGAGATCATCTTTAAACCTTAAATCGAAACTATTCCCTGAAGTCTTCTTAAAACCAAACAGTAGTTTAGCTTTACTAGTAAAGAATGTCTTCTTTGAGCATTGTGCTCTTTTAAGATCTCTCTATATGGGATCAAAGTAACAATAGCAAATCAATAGGTTAGACAGAAACCTTAGGGGGCAGTGAGTTTATGTTAAAGGGGGAGGAACAACTCAGAAAGGGAGGGCAAGAATGGCTGCACAACTCCAAGAATGTAATCAATGTCACTGAATTGTACAAGTAGAAACTGTTGAATTGGTGCATGTTCTCCTGTGCATACTCTCAACAACAACAAAATAAATTATAAAAAATTTTTAAAAGATAAGCTGGAAAAATGCTGCCAGGATTCTACGAACACAAACCTGAAGGCTGCAGGATGGAAGGACAGAGCATCAGAGGTGGGGCTGGGGGGGCCCACGAGTCATGGTCCTGATACTTATTAGCTGTGGCATGCCCCCATTCTGCTGAGTTTCTGTATCTGTGAAATGGGGATAATGTTACCTGCCGGGGCTGTCCTGAGGCTCAACCTGCAATAATGACTGGGATAAGTCTGCGCAAACTGCAGAGGGCTGAAAAATAAATACCAGGGACGACAAGCATTTTTATTATTAAACACCACCTTAGCCTTAATTGCCTGAGAAACAAGGTCAGGGCGAGACAGGGTTCCAGCACTTGCTGCCTCCTAACCTTAGGAGGGAGCTGCAAATGATTAAACCCATAATCGCTCCCTGCATCCACAACTGATTGAAGATGGTAATGATAACTGCCCTTTAAAAACCCCTGATTTTCAAAGGACCTGCTGATAATTCTCAAAAGGAAAAAAACAAAAACAAAAACAAATGGCCATTAAACACAGAAAAAAATGTTCAACTTATCTAGTATTTAAAGAAAAGCAAATTGAAACAAGATACCTTTTTAGCCTGTCAAATTAATAAATGTTAGAAAACAAACTGATAACACTCAATGCTGGCAAAGGTGCAGTGAAAACTGGAACTCTCAAACCCATGGCTGGTGAGGATGCTCACTGGAAAGGCATTCGGACATCTGTATCATCTACCTTGATTCAGATCCCTTGACTTGGTAATACCGCTTTTACTGGGCAACATGGCGCTACAGTCAGAAGCACCATGCTGTCCCTCTGCAGCAAAGATCAGAAAAACTAAGTCAAACAGAGTCACACGTCAATCCTGAAACCTTAAGCATCAAATGAAGAGATAAAGAACTCAGCCAAGCACCAAATGGAATAAGAAAGTGACTGAGAACAGAGAGCGAGGAGAGATACATGCAGAGGTCCCCTATCAGCTACCGCAGCACAGATTCGCCATCTTGGACTCCTATCGGAGATCAGCGAACAGGGGGTATGAGAAAGCAGCTTCATGGAGCTTCCAGCAGGAGACAGAACGAGTAACCAGCGATATATGCTTTCCCATCCCCCACTCTTCTTTACCCCTACGTAGCCTCCTCTGCTTCCTGCAGCCACAGTCTCTTGGCCAGGAAGCAACAGCGTCACCCCGGTGTCGCTTGGATTCTACCTGCCCGCACTGGCCGGCTGCCTGAGTGCCTTTTGTTGGCTGCTGGTGTTGCTTTTTTCTGCTTCTTTAGATTTCTTCCTTACCTCTCACCACCTCCCCCTCCTTTCTCTCAAATACCTGGCTCTGTGTGCCATCTTTGCTTCCTCCTGAAAGGCTGCGAAACACTGCTCGACTGTGAAACTGCTTCCTGGTCCGTACCGCCATGCTGGTGGGACCCCTGGGGATTTTTTGTTTCTTTCTTTGCTCTGATTTGTTCTATTTTCATTTGTTTGTTTGCTTTCTTTTTCTTTTCTCAGCTTGGGAGACCCTTCTAGCTGGGCAGTACC